GGCAGCAGATGGAAGTGCCAATTGTGATCGAGCATTGCCGAAGGCACCTACGAAACGTACCACACTGTAACATGCAAACGCCTTGCGGGCCAAACGTGCGCGACTCCGCGGGCGCACACGTCGAAATGGTCACAAGACCCCTTTGATTTCCAAGCGTATCAACACAGATGTGTTAAGCAGCCTGCGAAGGCCCATCTTTTACATGTACAGTCACACCAGCAACCCGAGATTTCTGCCAGAGCGCACTGATTCATTACCGTCGACAGCACCACCGATATCGTCATCGTCAGCGTCACCATGGCCATCATCATCATCATCATCATCATCAGCATCATCATCATCATCATCATCATCATCATCATCATCATCGTCATCGTCATCGTCATCGTCATCACCACCATCAACCTCATCAACCTCAACAGCAACATCATCAGCATCACCATCATCATTATCGTCGTCCTCGTCGTCATCGTTATCACCACCGTTGTCATCACCGTCATCGTCGATGTCGTCGCGTCGCACTCGTCATCATCGCCACCGCCAACACCACCACCATCATCATAATAGTAAGATTAATGTTAATAATCATCATCATCATCATCATCATCATCATCATCATCATCATCATCATCATCATCATCATCATCACCATCATCATCGTCGTCGTCGTCGCCGATGCCGTCGTCACCCTCAGCAATCGGCCGTCCGAGTCATGGATCTGCATGAGCAAGGTCCTCGCGCCACTGCGCAGCTTGATATCCGCGAGCAAGTTCCGACGGGCCACTGCAATCATGGCCCCTATAAGTTTTACTAATAACTTGAAAGTGGGAGGGCGGGATGTTCGCAAGAGCGGCGGGGTTGATTGCTTCAAGCTCTTGGCAATTGGTGCCTTGCCCAAGATTGCATTCAAATCTAACCCCCATCGAGGCGGAGGTTCGCCGCACCCCTCGGGGCATTGCTATGTTCCCCATTTTTAGTCTGAGAGATCGTTCATCAATGACTCCGGCGGAAAGACCCCACATGAGAATCTGTTTAGTTTGCCTGAGGATCTCCACTTGCCCCCTCCTCCGACAGCCTCCTTACTCCTCCCCCTGTCGCCTCATCCTCCTGTCTCCGCCTCTTTCTGCCTCCTCCTCCTCGTCCTCCTCCTCCTCCTCGTCTCCCTCCTCCTCTGCGCGATCGCTCATCCAAAGTATCAGATGACAGCGTGCCAGCCAACCCCAGTTATCGATTCCCCCTCGCCCCAACCTTAAAAATGCATAGGCTGCATACGCGTCGATCTAAGAAGCGCTTTCTCGAATAATCCCTGGTAAGACACCACACGCGTGCGCCGCCGGCCGCCGCGTGCACTTCCCAAGACACTAACACAGCCACTGGTCGCTTAACCATTTCGAGACGGTGCAAACCATACTGTTTGGGCAGATGCAATGCTTCTGCCAACAATCGATTGCAGCCGTTCTTCTCGCGTGCACTCGCTTAAAGCAGACGAAGAATCTGGCACCAGACATCCTGTCACGTGAGAGCACGCGGACCACGCGCGCGCATGTCGAAAACCTTCCACAGCCAGCGAGCACCCGCCAACTCTGAAGGGGCCCTGGGACACACAAATAAACAGACACAAATAACAGGATTCCCAATCTTTCCAAATATTTCATGTTTTTTTTGCCTTTCCCCCACTTCCCATATATCCCCATATTTTCCGGAGAATTGAGAACTAATTGTGTCTGTGTGTTTTTTTCCCCTCCTGAAGCTCCGTCTGTTAATACACATTGCGGGCCGTCCGCGCGCGCACGTCGAAATCCGTCCAGACGCATGCGCTCTGAAAGCAACTCGGCAGAACAATGCGTTCGAACACGTACGGTGGGGGAATTGGATAAGGAACCATTGGATAGGGAATCCAGGGTCTGGAAGCTGGTGCAACACCAATCGTGGACTGGCCATGGATATCACCGCCGACCTCATGAGATAAGGAATCCTCCACGGTCTGGAGCCTCCTGGTGCACTCCTTATCGAACGCCCTCACCCTATGTGAAGACCTGACGGTCTGTCAGGTGAAGACCGTACGGGCACGTATTCAAACTTTCTGCTCACGCGCTATTTTCATCATCCTCATCAGCATACTCGTTATCATCACACCCGCGTCACCATAGCCATCGTCATCGTCATCGTCATCGTCATCATCATCATCATCACCATCATCATCATAATCATCATCACCATCGTCGTCGTCGTCGCCGTCGTCATTCCACCTTCACCACCGTCGTCATCATCGTCATCGTGGGTGTCATTTGCGCGCGTGCGCTTCCTCGTCATCCTCACAAACACAATCGTCTTCATCAACGCCAGTGTCATCAGTACCACCGCAATTCTCATCACCACCAGCTTCATAGCCAACATCATCGTCGCCATCGTCGTCGCCGTCGCCGGATTCAGCTTTGCCAGCCACTTGCAGGTGGGGTGGTGGGTGGGATGCCTGTACGAGCGTTGGAGCTGACGACTCCAGCACTTACATCTGAACTGCACCGCATAGACTAAATCCGATAGATGGCGCCACATAGGAGGAGGAGGAGGAGGAGGAGGAGGAGGAGGAGGGAGGAGGAGGAGGAGAGGAGAGAGGAGGAGGAGGAGGAGGAGGAGGAGGGGGGGGAGGAGAAGGAGAGGAGGAGGAGGAGGAGGAGGAGGAGGAGGAGGGAGAGGGGGGGGAGAGGAGGAGGAGGAGGGAGAGGGGGGGGGAGGAGGAGGAGGAGGAGGAGGAGGAGGAGGAGGAGGAGGAGGAGGAGGAGGAGGAGGAGGAGGAGGAATGGAGAGCACACCGACAGTGCGAGCACCCGGTGCTTGGAGCCCCCGCTGGCAGAGACCCTGCTCCGGGCCACAAGCTGCAGACGCCGCGCCGCTCCAGGCGCCCACTGAAACCCGGCGCGCCTCGTGGAAGAGGCCACGGGCACCACACGTGCAAGACACATGGTGATACTGGACCGCAATACGACATGAGGGGCCTCCAAAATGGGGCCTCCAAAAATGAGGGACCACGACGGCGACCACGACGACGACGACGACGACGACGACCACGACGACCACGACGACGACGACCACGACCACGACCACGACCACGACGATGACGAGTCAAACTCTAGTCCTCCTAGATGGGGTTGGAGCAGATGGGGTCGGAGTATCGCACCGCATCGCCCATGCATCGGCGATGCATCGGCGATGCGCCGTCGTCGACGTCGGCGGTGCATCGGCGACGCCGGCGCGGAGAAAATCGGGCTCCGCATCGAGCCGCGTCGCCGATGCATCGGCGATGCGACGCGATCCCCTGACCCCATCTACTCGGACCCCATCCAGGAGGCCTAGAGATATGGGGCGAAGACGCAGTACCTGGAGCAAATAGGGAGCTGCGGCGCAGCTGCGCAACGGCCAGAGAAGAACGATTGGAGCACTGGCAGCTGTCGCCGCGTGCTTGCCGCGATGGTTTGACGGCTCGCCAGGTTGATGCACTACGCGTGCATCAAAACCATACAGTAAATGGGTCCACAGCTGAACGTCCTTCGTCCGGGGCACCTGCGATCCCCTGGAGTGTCAGCCTTGGCCTCCCCAGGTCATGATCAGGTCGCTCTCGGGGCGTAGCTGGAACTTGCGATGACTAAGAGTCTTGCCCGCTGGCGCACGACTAGCAATCGTTAGATCAGGAGGAGTCCGTCGGTGTGCCCATCTGGCTAGGAAGCCAGAGGTGACAACAGCGACTGCGAGCGATTCATCACTGGGCTCGATCGCTGGGCTTCGTGGGGGCCTGTTGGCCTCTCTAGAGGGATTGTTGGAGCCCTCGTGTGGAAGCTCTGGGTTCGTCAGAGCCTCTTGTGGCAAACTGTCGGCCCCCCCATGACTTCGCGGGCTCCCCTGGAGGCTCCTCCTTCCTCTATGCTCTGCCTCTCCATCCGCAATCGTCCACGTTCGCCTTCTCCTACTAACCTGGGCCTTTCCTTCCTCTCCTCCCCTCCTTCTCCGTCTCCCCCCTGCGGGCGGCAGCACATCCTGGCGGACGTGTTCCAGAGCGCGCTGGGTTTCATTGTCACGCAGGGCGGGGCACTCCTTGGGCATGAGCTGTGGGTACTCCTTGGGCATGAGCTGTGTGCACATCTGAGCGCTTGGATGCCCCCGGGGGGCGAGGGGCCTTCTGAGTGCTCCCCAGGGCTGGCGCAGGCTCCTCTGGAGGCTCGCTGGTGCCATCTTGGACCCCTCGAGGCCGTCTTCGGGGCCTCTCGGGGCCGTGTGGGAATCCTCTTGGCGCAATAGTGTGCCCTCTCGGAGCTGACTTGGTGCCGCCAGAGAGCGCTGCGAGGCACTCTGGGGCGTCTTTCTGGGCCCCTCTCGAGGCTTCTTGGGAGCCTTGTCGACCCTCCTGGGGCTACCTGGGAAATCACGGTATTTACACAGGCAGGGCTGTTGGGTAGGGATAGGTCGGACCTGTCCTCCTACCGGCAGACTTTTGGACGACAAGTGAACCACTGCCAAACGACAACTCAACACTGTCAGAACATACTCAAAACATCATGTCAGACTGCCCGAACACTGTCAGACCACTGTCAGACACATCACTGTCTCAACACTGTCAGAACACTGTCAGGCTGCCCGACGATGTGTTACTATGTTTGAGTGCTCTCCCCTGTAGCGGGACACGCCCGACTTCAGCGCAGGGCGAGGGCGGGGAAGAAACGACGAGGACAGCGAGCAGCTCGGCGAGCGAGCAGGCACCGGCCTGCTCGAGCCGACCTGGCTGCGCGGGCGCGGCCAGCGACTCCAAAGCTGCGGCTCCCCTCCTCCTCCTCCTCCTCCTCTCCTCCTCCTCCCTCCTCCTCCTCCTCCTCCTCCTCCTCCTCCTCCCTCCTCCTCCCTCCTCCTCCTCCCTCCTCCTTCTCCACCTCCTCCTCCTCCTCCTCCTCCTCCTCCTCATCCGAACGGGCCGCGGGGCATACCCACGGACTGGGATACGGCGGGGGGCGTCACGGGCCTTCCACGCAGGCCATGGCGTGCCTCACGCTCGCAGTGGCCGTGCGCCGCAGAGCCCGCATCGTCTCGGAGGGCATTTCGGCCACCGCCTCCGCGATGTGTGACTCGGCGTGTTTCAGGGCCTGGCGGCACACACCCGCGTCCCCCGGGAGGCTCATCAACACGCGCTCGCAATGCCTGGCAACCTCCAGCTGGGACTCTTCCACGGCCTGGCCAACCGCCTGCCTGACGATCTGCTCCAGCTGATCGGGAATGGTCCACATCCGCCTCACCAGTTCTTGGCCATGAGGGGTAGTTCTCTTGAGCATCTGCACCATGGCGCTGAGCTTCAGCCGCATCGCCAGCCGCATCGCGCCGTTCGCCTCCACGATCTTCGAGTCAAACGACCTCCTGATGATCTCTGGGATTTCACGGAGATTGTCGATAGCCGCATCGACGCCATCTTCGCCCCCACCCCTGCTGCGAATGGCCTGTTGCACTAAGGCCAGCGCGATCTTCACGAACTCGGCAAGGCTCTTAGCCTTGTTCTGCACCAATATGGCCAGCTGCTCAGGGATATCGTATATTGTCTCTGCGGCGGCTGACAAGCGCCACGTTTCGAGGCTGTTCTTCATGGTCTCCTGGCCGTTCGGTACCCAGGCCTCTTCCACGTGCGTCAATACCGAAGCAGTGCCGATGCGGTCGGCGTCGAAGAACGCGCTGTGGCTGGCAGAAGACTCGTTGCAGGGTTCGCTGGACCATGAAGGACTGCGTGAGCCCTCGCATTTGTCGCCGCACAGCTCGAGGAATGTGTCCCTTGTCGCCACGTCACCGAGACCCTGCTTCGTGGCGAAGATGTCACTTGCCATGGCCATGAGCAGGGCCCCGCGCGCGGCAGCCGACAATGAGCTGCTGCTCTTCAGCACAACTGGCTAAGTACGGAACCTCGCAGGAAGGAGCCGCGCGGGGCCGTTAGGGGCCGTCCTGAGGCGATCTGCGAAGATCTGTGATGCCCCTTCGGCCGTGGCGGACATTCTCACGAACCAAAAGAAGGAACAGCTAAAACTGTTCCTGGTCCTTCTGGGGGACATCATCTGTGTGCCTGTCGGGGGCCTCTGGAGGGTCGTCCCGGGCCCCGCCCGAGACTTCCAGGAGGCCTCTTCGAGCTATGTTGGGGCTAACTTGGCTGTCTTAGAGTCTTGGGGCTCCCGCACCCCCCAACAGCACTCTTTTGGGTCCGTTTGGAGCCCTCTTGCGGCACTCGCGCGCCCTCTTCAAAACCCGAGCCCCTCGTGGGGCCCTCGAAGGATGCCTTGGGGTGAGCTCGGAAGAGCTCCCTGGGCCGCCGTGAGCGCTCTTGGAACCGAAGCTTAGAGAAACGTCGACCCGTTCAAAGGCACAGGGGCAATCACTCTTGTTGTTCTGCTTGTAGGGTGCCTACTCTCCGTTTGGTAATATCAGAGTGAGGGGGCCGAACGGTCCTTCATTGTCCCTGGGTGCGTGGCGTAAGTGCGAATCCGTGGTGAGGATTATGTTTGTTGCATTATTGTTGTTGCTGTTGTTGTTGTTGCTGTTAGTGTTGTTGTTGTTGCTGCTGCTGCTGTTGTTGTTGTGATTGTTGTTGCTGCTGCTGCTGCTGTTGTTGTTGTTGGTGTTGTTGTTGGTGTTGTTGTTGTTGAACATTATTTATTCTAAAGAATAATTATTGTTGGGCCCCCTGGTGCGCGCCCCCCCTGCGCCGCCTAGGCCGCAGCTACATTTTCATCATTTTCGTGAGGAAGCCTCAGAAAAGAGGGTGTGTACAGGATCCGGTTGTTTTGTTGTAATCCGCTTTCCCTTGCAAAAAACAATAGAAAATGACATTTCTTGTTCTAATATAATCAAATTTCAAGAATCCCTTGCAAAAAATAAGGTAAAGTGGACATTCGCGCGCGCAAGACGAAATCCTTCCAAAACCTTAGTGTTCGCAGCGATTTTAACATAAAAACATAAAAAACAATGGTTTTTCAACAAAAATTGTCAAAATCGCGAGCAACTTTTTCGAACTTCTGCGACAACGGTTGCGCACCTGCCAGGGCCATCATCCCTGTCAAATAATACCATGCGGGACACATTCGTTTTTCTTCGCGCGCGCACGCCGTCGTCGTCGGCCGCGGGGCCCTGAATAGTAGCCACGGTCGTCCGCATGCCACGAAGTGAAGTGTCCGAACGTCATAGGGCGGGAAGCTGGGTGTGGGTGGTGGCGAAGAGTCGTTTGGAAATTTGGTAGAGCTTGAACCGGCCCCCCCACAAAGTGGGGGTATTGCCCGCCTCCTATGAAAACCCTGGCACTGGTGAGAACGGAGTGTCCCCACGTGCTAGTAATTGTTGTTGTTGTTGTTGAATGCGAAGTGCTAAACAATTACTATTGTTGGACCGCTTACAGGCGCCCTGGCGCTCTTGCCGAGGCGCCGGCTACATGTTCATTGAAAATGAGGCTCACGCTCGAGCGGTTTGGGGGACCGCCAAAACCGGCCCCCCAACAACAACAACGCTCCCGGTCGAGACTTCCTCGTTTTTTACTCAGGGCTGGTGTTCTTGCTCGCCGCCGAAATCCGCCGTCCTAGCAAAACCAGCGTTCCCGCTCGAGACTTCCTCCCGTTTTACCTTGGACTGGCGCGCTAGTCTTCCTCTCATCGGCGCCGCCCCCAACAGAAACAACGCTCCCGCTCGAGGCTTCCTCCCTTTTTTACTCAAGGCGGTGCTCCTCCTCGCCGCCGAAAACCGCCGCCCTGACAAAACCAGCGCTCCCGCCCGAGACTTCCTTCCGTTTTACGCTGGACTGGCGCCCTACTCTCTTTTGAATTGGTGCCGCTCCCAGCAAGAACAACGCTCCCGCTCGAGGCCTCCTCCCTTTTTCCTGAAGACGGTGCTGTTCCTCGCCGCCGACAGCCCCCGTCCCGACAAAACCGCGGCTCCCGCTCGATGCTTCCTCCCTTCGTACTTACGGCGGTGTTCCTCCTCGCCGCCGAAAGCCGCCGCCCCGACAAAACCAGCGCTCCCGCCCGAGACTTCCTTCCGTTTTACGCTGGACTGGCGCCCTACTCTCTTTTGAATTGGCGCCGCTCCCAGCAAGAACAACGCTCCCGCTCGAGATTTCCTCTCTTTGTCCTCGGGACGGTGCTGTTCCTCGCCGCCGACAGCCACCGTCCCGACAAAACCACGGCTCCCGCTCGATGCTTCCTTCTTTCTTGCTCAAGGCGGTGTTTCTCCTCGCCGCCGAAAACGGCCGTCCCAACAAAACCAGCGTTCCCGCTCGAGACTTCGTTTCGTGTTACGCTGGGCTAGCGCCCTACTTTTTTCAGCATTGGCGCCGCTCCTAGCAACAACAGCAGCCCTGCTCGAGACCTCCTCCCTCTCTATTCAAGGCCAGGTCCTTGCCTCACCGCCGACAGCCCCCATCCCCACCAAGGCAATCCTGTCGTTCGATACTTCCTTGTGCGTTACCCTTTGCTGGGGTTCCACTGGCGGTCTCGCATCGGCGCAGCAAGGCGTGGGCATGTGTTTTCGAGGCGGGATATGTTGAAATTCCTCTGAGGAGGTGTTTGCAAGACCTCATTGGGCGGGAGATCTGGAATGGGAATAACGGACCCCGCTATAGAACAAAAGTCCCCCAGTGTTGTGGATGATTATCATGATGGTCGCATGCTTCGTGTGGAAACATCGCTCATGAAGGCAACATGATTGGTGTTGTTGTTGTTGTTGTTGCTGTTGTTATTGTTGTTGTTGTTGTTGCTGTTGCTGTTGCTGTTGTTGTTGTTGTTGTTGTTGGTGTTGTTGTTGTTGTTGGTGGTGTTGTTGTTGTTGTTGTTGTTGTTGTTGTTGTTGTTGTTGTTGTTGTTGTTGTTATTATTTGTTGTCGTCGTCCCCCCCGCGACCCGGCCCGCGACCCACCCGCGACCCACCCCGCGACCTACCCGCGACCCACCCCGCGACCCGCTCGCGACCCACCCGCGACCCATCCGCGACCTGGCCCGCGACCCACCCGCGACCCACCGTCGACCCATTTGCGACTCAACCCGCGACCCCCTTACATTGTTTTAGCAAAAAATCGGCGCCTGCGGCGGGCTCGTTGTATAGCTTAAAAGTGTTGCACCTGCGGCGGGCTTCTTCAGAGCCTCGCAGACTGCAGACGTCCCCGCCGCCCCCTCACTCTTACCCGCAATTGCGGGTTGCTGCGTAAACATTGGGAGCTCACCCGACAAGGGTCTTCGTCAACCTGTCCGCGCCCGTGGGCCGTGGGTGTCTGGCTTTTGCGGCTGGTGGCATGGGTCGACTGCGGCAATGTTTGCCCGCGACAGGGGTCGATGTGGGGGCTGTCGGCGGAGATGGCGCCCCCCCCCACGCAGATTACCAAACGCAGAATTTGGAGAAGGCTCGAGAGGGCTCCCAGGAGAGCCCAGAATCGAATCGATTTGTCGAGTCGGCGATCGAGATGCATCGGGTCGGCAGAAATCGGCAGCCCAGCCGGGAAAAGTCGGACCGGCGGAAATCGGCAGGCCAGTAGGCCTCCGCTGAGACATCAGAGCCCAAATCGGAATCTCAGGGCGAATCGCATCGGAAGCGGAAGCCATCGAAGTCGAAACCGAAGCGAATCACAGGAAAATCGAGAGGAGCCCTGCTCGGGTCGGGCGAAAGGGGGGGATAGCAAAGGGGGGATTTGAGAATCAGCTTACGTAGCTGATTTTCCTGGCGCCTCCCGGCGCCGGGAGGCGACTATGTATCAAGGAATGGGCCCCTCGGTGGGGCCGAAACCAGCTGCATGCAGCAGATTTCGTAACCCCCCCTTTCCCAATTCCCCCCTTCCGTCTGGCCCGACCTGCTCCCAGGGCCTTCTCAGGGGCATCTCGGGAGCCTCTTTGGGGCCATCGTGGGGCCCTCGCCGGGCCATGCGGGAAGCGCCTCTCGGGGGGGGGGGCCCTCGGCCCTGCCGCCCAGGAAAAAACAGCCCACAGGCTCTCAGAGACCAGACAGAGCCCAGGATGAAGGGGCCCTGAGACACACAAATGAATACACACAAAAGAAAAGGATCCCCCATCTTTTTCGACTTTTTTTTTTTTATTTTCGTCTTCCCCCCATCTCCCATATGTTTTGCATATGTTCCTGGGAGTCGACGAATCATTGTGTCTGTGTGTTGTTTTCCCTCCTGACAGGAGGCCCCCCCCCCAGGGGAACCTCCAGAGCAGGGGAGCACGCCAGGGCTCGAGCCGAACCGTGCTGTTCGTGCTCGTTCTGCTCCTGTGGCCCTTCGCTCTGTCTCCGTGCTGCCCCTTGCCGGGAAACGACATCAGACCGAACACAGCCCACGCCATGGCCAAAAAACACCGCGTGGCTCGAGCTGAACCGTGCTGTTCGTGTCCGTTTTGCTTTTGTTGTCCTTCGTTCTGTCTTCGTGCCGCCCCTTGCCGGGAAACGAGATCGAAATCGGACCGAACGCGGCCCACGCCGTCGCCAAACAAAACACCGCGTGGCTCGAGCCCTGGAGCAAACAGTGACACACACACACACATCGAAACGCCGAGGTCCGCGCGGCGCGGCTCTTTCTCGGCTCGAAGGGCTCCAAAGGGGTGAACTCGCCCTGATTGAGGCACCTCGCCCTCCTCCTGCTCCTCCTCCTCCTCCTCCTCCTCCTCCTCCTCCTCCCTCCTCCTCCTCCTCCTCCTCCTCCTCCTCCTCCTCCTCCTCCTCCTCCTCCTCCTCCTCCTCCCTATCCCGACGTCGCCAAACATGGCAGCATCGCAACAGATCCCGACCGGACCCCATCCTTCTGCTTCGGCTCCCCAGCCGGATGGCTCCGTGAGGGGTCCCGTGGCCCGACGGTGGGCGAGCACGCCCGCGGGGAACACATTGCAACGCCAGGACCTCTGAGCCCGCTCAGGACCCAATCTTAGAACCGCCGTCTTTTTTGCATGTCCATATAAAAGAGGAAGAAAATCAACATAATGATAATAACAATACAACTAGTATCAAAAATGATGATAACAAGCAGAAGCGACATACAGATACACTTGTGGCTCTCCGCGCGGACTTCTTGGATCTCTGCGCTAGACTCTAGACCCCCTTCCCTGGCGCGCTCCGCGCGCCAGTGGCGGCGCTTGAGGCGCCGCTGGAGGACCCATCGCGAATCCAAGAAATCCGCGCGGAGCGTCAAAAGTTTATGTCTATGCCGCTGTTCTTTCTTCGACTACACGTCCTTCATTTCTCACTGTGCTCATTTCTAAGTGTGCTCGTTTCTAGTTGTTCCTGGCCTCCTGGTGGCCAGAAAGAGGCCCATGATAGAACAATTAGAGATGAAAAGATCCTGGCCCCCAAAAAAATCAAGAACTTTCGAATAACTAGAAGTGAACAATGTGTATAGGACATTGCCTGCTCCCCTGCCAGGAGGCCTCCGCCGCCGGAGGCGGGCTCACAGCCCCTGCTGGAAATTAGCGTGCTCGCAGCACCTGGGATACCTTTGAGCCACCGCTGTCCTCCAACCCTCGTCAAAATTAACGTCAAAGATGTCTTACGTGGCTGAGCTGTCTGCGGGGAGGTGCTGGTCAGGAGTTGCGGTGACTGCGAGGTACTTGTATGCGCCGCCCCTCCAGTGTCGGTCATGAGTCACCATCGAGCTTCCAGGTCGTTCCCGGTCAGACCACTCCTGCCTTGGCCCCGACATTGGAGGGGCGTCGATCGACATTGCAGAGCGCGCCGATCATAACATGAAACCCGCGCGTGCGTATGCCGACCTGTGTGCACGGCACCCGCACAGAAGCCCTCGCAAGTGCAAGCGAAGGGGAGAGGAGGAGGAAGGAGGGGAACCACACTGAGCGTCGTGAAATGCCACTGGCGTCGGCAGGTCAAGCGCCGCGGGCAAACGGACTAGCGCTGAGCGAACAGGTAGGGCAATCGTACTGGCACTGAAAACAAGCATGCAAAGGAGATCGCAGGGGCGTGGTCGCTGTTGAAAAGGTTAAATTTGACGAGGGCAGTAGGACACTGCCTGCTCCCCTGCCAAAGGCACGTGGAGGCCCACCAGGCCTCCCGCGCTGCAGCGCGGGGCCGCCATAGGGGGCCCGTCTCCGTGGCAGCACCCGCGGGAGAGCAGCTGCTCCGGCGGCAGACGAGCTGAGTCTCTCCGGGCTCCCGCGGACTCCGGCCGCGTTTGGAAGGCGAGCCGCCTGGTAGGGGGCCACATGCGAACCCTGCCCCTACTCCCCACGGTTTCTGAGGGGGAAGGTGGGGTTCACTTCGCTAAGGAGCTCCCGAGCGAAGTGAACCCCACCCTCCCCCTCAGAAATCGTGGGGGGTAGGGGTAGGGTTCGCATGTGGCCCCCCATCTGGCGGTTCCAGCCGCCTCAAGCCGCAAGGCTCCGGCCGCTTGGAACGCGAGCGACCGGCCTCCAGCGGGCTCCTGCCGCTTGGAAGGCGAGCCCCAGAGATTCCAAGAGATGTTTCTCCCCACATCCTAAGTAGGGTTCTTGTTTTCTCTGGACACCCCCGCGCAGGAGCAGGAACACCCCACATCATCATCGCCATCATCATCACCATCACCAGCATCAGCACCGTCATCATACACATACACATCCTCACCATCATCACCGCAATCAGCATCGTGACATTTGAACATCATCGTCATCAGCATCATCCTCATCACTCGCCATCACCGTCATCAACCCATCAACACTCACCAACACATACCATCATCAACATCACCATCGTCATCATCACACGATCATCGCATCATCATCATCATCATCATCATCATCATCATCATCATCATCATCATCATCATCATCATCATCACCAGTATCAGCATGATCATCCGCATTACATCCATCATCGCCATCATCATCACAACCATCAGCATCACCCCCCACACCCGAACATCATCACTATGATTTCGGGAGTCTCCTGTGGGAACCTCGTCTGTGAGTGAGTTGTGGGGACGTCTCAGGCGGGAGCCCCCTCCATATGAGGCTCGCATCTCAAGTTGGTAATCCGAGCGGGTCATCCAAACCCTGTAACCGTCATCACTTTTGGGGCCCCTGAGGCTTGAATCTTGAGGAACTGTCGAACGGGAGCCTCGTCTGTGAGTGAATTTCGAGGAAATCTGAAGCGGGACCCCCCCCTCTATGGGGCCCGCACCTCATGTTCGAATCCGAGAGTGTCATCCAAACCTTGTAAGTGTCGTTATGTTGGGGGGCCCTGAGGCTTGAATATTGAGGAGCTGTCGAGCGGGAGCCCATGAAGCTTGAATGTGGAGGACGTCTCAAGCGGGAGCCTCGTCTGTGAGTGAACTTTGGGGAAGTCTCAGGCGGGAGCCCCGTCTCTTCGGGGCCCACACCTCATGTTAGACTCCCGAGCGGGTCATCCAAGCCTTGTAACTGTCGCTACCGTTGGGCCCCTGAGGCTTAAATTTCAGGAAGACTCAAGCGGGAGCCTCGTCTGTGAGTGACTTGTGGGGAAGTCTCAGGCGGGAGCCCCTTCTCTATGGGGCCCGCACCTCATGTTCGAATCCGAGCGGGTCATCCAAACCCTGTGTAACTGTCGTCACTTTTGGGCCCATGAAGCTTGAATGTGGAGGACGTCTCAAGCGGGAGCCTCGTCTGTGAGTGAATTGTGGGGACGTCTCAGGCGGGAGCCTGTTCTCTACGGGGCCCGCACCTCATGTTCGAATCCGAGCGGGTCATCCAAGCCTTGTAACTGTCGTCACTTGGTGGCCCTTGAGGCCTGAATTCTGAATAAGTCTCAAGCGGGAGCCTCGTCAATGAGCGAATTGTGGGGACGTCTCAGGCGGGAGCCCCGTCTCTATGGGGCCCGCACCTCATGATAGATTTCCGAGCGGGTCATCCAAACCTTGTAACTGTCGTCACTTTGTGGCCCCTGAGGCCTGAATTTTGAATAAGTCTCAAGTGGGAGCCTCGTCTGTGAGTGAATTGTGGCGAAGTCTCAGGCGGGAGCCTGTTCTCTATGGGGCCCGCGCCCCATGTTCGAATCCACGCGGGTCATCCAGACCTAAGAGAAGCACGATGCAGCTGCGACGAGGGCATCGGAGGAGACCATCCTTCTTTTGAACATCCTTCTCGTTCTGGTCGTCGTCATCGTCCTCCTCGTCATCGTCCTCCTCCTCGTCGAAGTCCTTCTCCGCGTCCTCTTCCTCCTCCTCCTTATCCTCCTCCTCCTTCTGCCACTCCTGATCCTCCTCTCCTCCTGATCCTCCTCCTCCATCTCCTCCTCCCCCGCCTCCTTGTACTCCGACTCGCTCTGCACTAAACCCTCCTCCCACCCTTGGACTCCTCCTCCTCCTCCTCCTCCTCCTCCTCTTCCTCCTCCTCTTCCTCCTCCTCTCCGGCGACGACTGCGGGGCTCCGAGCCCCGCGCCGAGCTTCTCGGCGCGCTCCTCTCCGTGGCCGCCACGGTGGGGGGGGAAGGCCGGGAGGGGGGGGGGAGGAGCGAGGCGAACCACCAGTCGGGGGGTGCTCAAGGGTGCCCCTGGCCCAAGGTGCCCCCAGCTTTTCGCTCCAATGTGGTGCCCCTGGGGCCCTCTGGCCTCGTGAGGGGTGCTCTGGAGGCCGTGGGGGGGGCCTCCTCGGAGATCCTGGGGCCACCCTAGGCCAGGGGCACTTCTGGCAGCGCCCGACAAGGGGGGGGGGGCGGGGATGGCGAGAGGGGGGAGGCGAGCTGGGCGTGCTCGCGCTATGATGTGAGCCCAAGAACTATACCCACACGTATGGCGGGTTCCGGGAACCCTGAACCCCAAAATGTTGTCATCTCTTGGGGGCGCATCTTTTACTTCCGCCGCCTTCCGCTAGCCTTCCGCCAGCGGAGGCGGCCTCGTTTGACTTCCGCCGCCTTACGCTGACTTGCCGTCGAGGAAGGGATGGCAACTCCTTCGATCCTCGAAGGCTCGGAAGGCCCTTTCTGGAACGTCCTATGTGCATGTGTGCATGTGTTAAGACATACCTACTCCCGCCCGCTCTGGCCGCCCGAGGCCCCGCCTTCCAGTGCCCTTTCTCCCTGATGAAAGCTGTGCGTAGCCCGCCTAGCTTTTAGCGGAAGAGGTTCGCTCTCGCCCCGCAGATCAAACATGTCTTAAGACACACCCGTGTGAGAACAGAAGCAGCGGTGGAGCCACGACCGAAACTTTTGGCGCGGCCCCGGACGGCCAGAGCCGCATCTCTCGACATCGCGCGAGTCATCGCAGACCTCACACGCCGAAACGCCGCAGCTCCGCAGCCGCCGCGGCCGCGGGGGAAGAACACCGCGTCTTTCGCCGCCAGGAGGTGCTGATCTACCTCCCCCTGAGAGGGGACAGGGGGAGGGGTCCTCCGTTTATGATTTCGGGGGCAGCGTCACCCGATATCCTACCCCTCCAGCTCGTCGCTGTTGTTGCCCGATCCGTCGGCGGATGTCACAGCGGACCTGGAACCCCCCAAACAAGGATCCGAAGTACCCCGTATCGTGTCATTCGCAACCTGAAAAGGGGGAGCTGCGTGCATTGGAGGGGGTGACGAATGAGCAGGAGGGTCAGCGGGAGGAAGAGGAGGAGGAGGAGGAGGAGGAGGAGGAGGAGGAAGGAGGAGGAGGAGGAGGAGGAGGAGGAGGAGGAGGGAGGACGCGGAGGAGCATCGGCAGCAGGAGCAGAAGGAGCGGGAGGAACAGGAGGACCATGGGGAAGGTGGAGGAGGGGAATGCAAAGGGGCGACACCGACGAGGGAACTTTTTCCGACGGCGGCGAGGCAGAGGCGGTCCGCCGCTCCAGCGCGTGGTTGTTCGGGGCAACCGAAAGGCGACTTGGCCGGCGAGCAACGGGAGGAGGAGGAGGAGGAGGAGGAGGAGGAGGAGGAGGAGAAAGACGAAAGGGCCGCGCGGGGGGGGAGAGGGAGGGGAAAGCGCTCAGACGTGAAGGAGTTCCGCGTCGAGCGGGCCAGAGCTCGACGAGGAAGCACTCGTACCCAGAAGTGTGGCCCGCTGGGGAGAGAGCGCCATTCTGAGCGACGAAGGCAAAGCGCTGATCTTGAAACAGGGCCAGCGCTGCAGCGGGAACACCGTTTTGGAAAACCGACAGCCAAAAATGCTCCGTGCGGAAAAAATAGCACGGACTAACATGTGACATCAGGCGTCAAGAAAACAATACAAGGAGAGTGCGGAATACTCTCAGGACGAAGCTGGGGGAGAGAGGACCGAGAGGAGAGTCGGATTCATGCGGGCAAGTAGATGTGAAGGCCTCCTCCCTCCCTCCACAAACTTGAAATCCGCCGGCCCCCTTGTGGGGCCACCAGGCTGTAGGCCCGTGATTCGCAGTTTCCTGTACCAGTTGTAGTTTGTAGTTTCCAGTGTTACAGTTCTGCTTCTTGCTGGTTACTGTAACTAGTTGATTGACCGCGCGAGGGGAGGGAGGCCCAAACCAGATTTTTAGCACCACCTGGGCGCGTTGTCTGAATTGCTGGGGGGGCTCGAAATCGACACCCCTCACGCAGATCCGCGGGGTCAGGGTCCAAAAACACATGGGATTTGCCACATTTCTGAAATTCGGTGCCACCCCTCACGCAGATCCGCGGGGTCAGGGTCCAAAAACACAGGGGATTTGCCACATTTCTGAAATTCGGTGCCACCCCTCACGCAGATCCGCGGGGTCAGGGTCCAAAAACACAGGGGATTTGCCACATTTCTGAAATTCGGTGCCACCCCTCACGCAGATCCGCGGGGTCAGGGTCCAAAAACACATGGGATTTGCCACATTTCCGAAATTCGGTGCCACCCCTCACGCAGATCCGCGGGGTGAGGGTCCAAAAACACAAGGGATTTGCCACATTTCCGAAATTCGGTGCCACCCCTCACGCAGATTCCGCGGGGTCAGGGTCCAAAACCTGCTCTTCCATGGCCCATTCTCCGAGAGAGGGGGCCGGCGGCAGGGGGCGAAGCCCTTACGGATAAGTGGCGCGTCTCTGCTGGCAGGTGGCGCAGGAGGACGCTGGCGGAAACTGTGACAGCCCTCCTCCTCATTCTCCTCCTCCTCTCCCTGCTCCTCTCCCTGCTCCTCCTCCTCCTCCTCCTCCTCCTCCTCCTCCGCCTCCTGCTCATCCTCCCTTGCCCCCCTCTCCCCTCCCCTTGCCGTTCCTCCTGCCCCCCTCCTCCCCGCCGGGCGTTGCCGTACTTCCGAAACTCCCGGCCGGGCCTTCTTGGGCCTCCGCGGGACCTCCCATCCACGGGTCGACCCCTGGAGCGCGCAGCGCGCCTGCGCTCTCCTGCTCGCCCCAGCCCCTGGGCGAGGACCATCTTGGACCTCGCCTGCGATGGCCGCCGGCAGGCCCCACACCCCTCGCAGTCACCACCACAGGCGCTGCGTGCGCTCCCGCCCCCCCCCGCCAGTCCGAGCGACGATGAAGAATGGGGTCTTCCGCGATGGCACAGCGACCACGCGGCGGCCTACGCGGGCCGCCAGCGCGGCACGCCACACTGGAGACGGGGGCACCCATGCACATCCTTACACGAGCAGCTCACGCGCCAATCTCGACGCAGACGACCCCCTTTGTTGCTGCGTCCTTCATGCTTCAGCCATCAACAAACGCCCCAGGAGGCCGAGCCCCCCCTTTGGACGCCCGAAATGGGCACGGACAGAATGGGCACAATGCCCAACAGCAAATGTTGTCCCAAATCAGCAGCGGCCGCTGTTGGGCAGGCGGCCTTCTGTCTCAAATGAACACAGGCCGCGGCGGCGCGGACAGCGAGTCCTGTCCAGAATGAACAGGATCCGCTGTTGGGCATTGTGCCCATTCTTTCCGTACCCATTTCGTTCGTGCCGACCCCCTGCGGTCCCCTGGCCAACGACGACGGCCGGAAGTGGGGGGCGGGGGTCCGAACATACCTCCCGCCCACTCCCACGCCTAGCATCACGGCGGCAGCTGCCATCCACGCAGGGTTCCTCCCTCCGTCGAGGCGGGAGGGAGGGAGGGAGGGAGGGAGGCCAGGAGGAGCGAAGGCCAGGGAAGCCAGAGGGAGGGAGGGAGGGAGGGAGCGAAGGTCAGGGAGGCCAGAGGGAGAATGCTGGAGAAAGCAGAAGTACAGAAGGACGAGGGGGGATGCTGGAGGGAGAAAGACGATGACGATCAGGAGGCGGAGGAGAAGGCGGAGGAGGAGGAGGAGGAGGAGGAGGAGGAGGAGGAGGAGGAGGAAAGAGGAAGGAAAAGGAGGAGGAGGAGAAGGCGGATGGGGAAGGAGTAACGAAAAGGAGGAGTAAAAGAAGGAGGAGGAGGAGGAGGAGGAGGAAAGAGGAAGGCAAACAACAGCAGGAGGAGGGGCAGGATGAAGAGGAAAGGGGGGATGGGGGGGAGGAGAGGGGGAGGAGCAGGAGGAACCACGGAGGAGGAGGAGGAGGAGGAGGAGGAGGAGGAGGAGGAGGAGGAGGAGGAGGAGCAGCAGTGGAAGAGGGAGAGCTTTCTTCCTCCAGCCCCACGCCACCGAGGGAGGCCCCCCCCCCAGGGGCCACGAGCCCCGCGGCGGGCGACCGCCGGCCGCCCCCTCTGCGCACCAGCGCGGGCGCACCGGGCCGCGGCACTGCCCAAGGGGCGGGGGCGGGCCGCCGTGGCGGACCCCGAACCTGTGCCACCACCGGGGCCCTCTCTTTAGGGGGGGGGGGGGGGGGGGGGGAGGGGGGGGGAGGGGGGGGGGGGGGGGGGGGGGGCAAATCTCTGGGGGAACGAGCAATGACTGAAAGATGAATGATTACCAGCCTCGAGCGTATCCCTATCCCTGAGATTGACAGGCCCAAGGGCGATGACAACCTTAGGGCTTCGCCTTCAAAAAATAAGGGATTCCCCAATCTCGGCATCGTGATGAGGAGGTGCCCAGCCTAGGGATAGGGATATGTTCCAGGCTGGTAAAATAACCCCGGGCCGACATGGCGCTGGGGCCCCCTGGCGGCGCCTCTGGCGCCGCCCCTGGCGCGCTCCGCGCGCCAGGGAGGGGGGTCTAGCGCGGGTCCGAAAAAAACCGCGCGGACCTCAGAGTTTTTATGTTTATGTCATCTTTCGTTCCCCTAATCCCGTCGGGGAGACGTCCACGTCCAGCTAGAGCGAGGCGAGCACCACCACAGGTACTCACGCAGTGAGCTCCTCATCCCAAACGGCCTTCTCTTTAGCAGCATGCTCTCCCACTGCCTTGTGCTCAAAAGACTGGCAGCCTAGCGCGCGCCATGGACACTCACAATGGCCAGCGCGCTGTCATAGTGCATCTCGAGCTGCGCCTCGGACGCAATCATTCCGCGGATGCGCCCAACACGGCCCATGGACACACCCTCCGCCACCATGCAGAGTTTGTCGATGAACAAGCTGAGGTCCCAGCCGTTCTGCGCTCAATCTTCTTCCAGGCTCGGCCCAACATACGGACTGAAATCAAGAA